TTAGGTCGCTGTTGCCATGAGTTGATATGAGCAATCTAGCAACAGCTATCTTCACTGCATTAGAAACCACCACTGGGTCTGGCTGCTGCTGTTTCCATTGGAAAATAATCGAGTGCTTGTTAATCTTATTTCTCAATGCCCCAGAGATCATATACCTTCTGAGGATACCAATGACTTTGCCAATAACAAATGCATTGGGTTGATCACACCAATATTTCTCGACATCTACATGCAGGCTAGTGAGACCTGGGCCCAGTTTGAAGCCAGATAAACCGCTGCTTGCCCTAGTTCCACTATGAAGCCAAATAAGAGAACTAGTAGAGTAATGGTGTAATCAACTTTTGAAATGTGTACTTCTATAATAGGTTTTGGTGTCTCAAGAACCAGTGATTTCCTAATGGTAAGCACTCCAACAATTGAGATTAGAATCATCTTGAGTAAAATCAGGGATTGAATGAATGGCACTGGTAAATTCATCCATACGAAGGTAAAGTGGTACTTTGTGAAGAAGAAATCATAGCAAAAACCCAACTCTACCTCAATGATTCTGAATGCTCTTTTGAAATCCCTTTCAGATTTCAACAAGTTCTTGAAAACAAGATCGTGGTCTTTGTTAACATGGCCGGTTTCGGGTTCCAATTCCCCGAAATAGCGTTGTCCCTCGAGCCGCCGAAACAAGGCACAGGATAGGCACAGGTCTTTCAGTGCATTGCCATCATCAGCTGAGCTGCCACAACAATCCCATATCTGGTCAATGGTAATGAGTCAACACAGATAATCATAAAACTGCATAAGTGTAGCCCTTCATGCTCTGAGGGTCAGGGTCGCATTCCTCCGTCCTCCTCTCTGCAGCTTGTGTGCGACAATGGCTCAGCATCTTTTTGATGAAAGGTCTCGGTTTGTTCAATTCTTGTATCCTAGAATTACTAGAGAAATGGATCCAATCGATCGACTTTGTCGCTAGAACGACACAAATAAGAGCGGCGACACACCTTGAGCTTGGCCTGGAACTCTTGAGACGCCGCTTTAGATCCCAGGCTGTCTTCCAGGTGTAAGTATTTGGATCCATCAGCAGAGCTACCATAAAAGCGTAGAAGGCATCCTGAGCATACTCAGCAACAACCTGCATGTACTTGTTGTCAAAGCTGACATAGAAGTCATATTGCCGGAAGGAGCTCGTGCCCGCCGATGCCATGATGAGAACAGTAGCCCAGACAGGATACAACGAGTTCTTGATTGGGGAGCACCGCATGGTGCCCAATCATGTCCAAAACGACTTTAATTACAGAGAAAACTACACCCTAATTAATCACTCTTTGGTATGCTAAATCATGTCAAAACGACTTTAATTACCAGTATGGATGGAGTATTACTGTAGAGGTTGTCTTAGAGTTAATAACTACTCCCCTCCGGGCAGGTTTGTTAGGCGTGAAAGGAAAATCTCGGATACCAAGGAAAGAGAGCGTGCATGGCCAAAGGGAGTAAAACCTGTTAGAGCGTGCATGCCACTTGTTGTTGTCGATTAACTGGAGCTTGATTTTCATGCATGGCGCCATGCATAGTTAACTTTGGCGGACTGCCCAGTGGCTATTGCCTAGTGTCCAGCGGTAGTCGAGGTGACCCGCGTCTCGTTTTTGTTGCCACGCCCTACAAAGCTGCCTGGAGGGAGTAGCTCATACTACAGTGGGTGCCCTCAATAATATTATAACTTTTAGCATATAGCTTGGAATATGTGTATAAGACTAGCTTTTCATTAAAAAAGATATTTTTTTTTGTAATAAAATGAAATAATATGCGTAAAGCTAGCTCATAAGTCACTATTAGAGCTGTCCCTACAAATTGCTAATCGTGGTGATCGAACTTGCAAGTGCCTATTTTGCAGTCGCAATCACATGAAGGTCTCCGCGGTAGTAAAGCAAGCAGGGTGCAGTTAACGCAAAAAGATGAGACGTAGACAGACAAACAAATAACTACGCGTTGGTCTGAAAAATCAACCTACAGCCAGTGAAGGAGCCTGAGATACATACAGGCTTGTGTTTGATTGACGGTTTAGACTCTCATGCAGACTTGCGTTGAATTGCTCTGTGGGTGACCAATTTTTCTATGTGTTTTTTTCGGCACGCATAGAAAAATGATGAATTTTTTGTTGGTTTCAAAATATCCCGACAGAAAAATATAAAAACCCACAGAATAATTATATGATTTTTCTGTGTGTGGGAGCAAACACACGGAAAAAATAAACACTCACAAAAAAATTGAAATTATTGTGTCAGTTCTTTAAATCCACATAGAAAAAATATATACACGCATAGAAAAATTGGTATTATTGTGTCGGTTCTTTTATAAACGCACAGAAAAACATACACACGCACATGACTTTCTTGCTGCTGTCCAGAAATTTCAGAATACAACCTTACCACGTTTTGGCCATCTGTAAATCTGTAGAACATGTTTCCTTGTTCTGGTCTTTGTAGGATGACTACCTTGCTGCTGTTAAGAGGATAGAATGTGTAAACGAAGAGGATGGAGACGGTGCAGACATGGAAGTGGATGGGCATGAGGTTGAGCAACAACTATATTTGAATGGAAAGGCGCTATATGATGTGTCTAGTGGTGCCCCGAGAAAGCATGGGCGTCTTGCCATAGAAAATGGTGTGGTTAAGTCTTCAGATGTTAGGGCAGCCGGAAGGGAAAGAAGTGTGCGTCTATCAAATTCAGTGACTATGCAAAACATGTCTCGAGAAATGGAAGAGCTATGTCGTGCAAATGGAAGGCTGGAACGCGAGAATCGTGAAAAGGACAACGCACTGCAGCAAAACAAAGTTCTTGTCCGCTTAGTACTGGTATGTGCAATGCTATTGTAAATAATTCACCAATATTATATGTGAATTATCTAATGATTTAAATCTAAAATATCTGTGCTTGCAATACACTTGTAAAACCTTTACCAGGAGATAGGAAGGGTTGTACCAGGAAAAGTGTTACGACACTTGTCCGCTACGCAAGCAATTTTGAGTATATCTTCATTCCACTGTCAACATGTTTGTAGCTGTCAGATCCATCACTTAGAGATTTTAATATGGAAAGGAAGTAGAAACTGATTAGTATTTTATGGGGTACTATTTAGAATGTCAACACACAGTGCAGTAGTGAGGAAGTGGCCTCATGTTGATTGTTGTATAGCTACTGCAGTGAATTTGCACGGCTATTGCAGTGAGGAAGTGGCCTTATGTTGGTTTGTAATGTTTCACACCTTGGAAACCAGCAATTTGAATACTTTAAACCTTGTCCAATTCCACATACTATTGTAACCTTGTCCAATTTAGAGGCTTTACTAAAAGTGTTATATTATTGGGAGACAATTCCACTCACTGTAACTTTGTTCACATTCAGGCAAGGTCTTCTCATGCTGCCTCAGAATCTGCCAACAATGGTAATGATGTTGGCCACACCAATGGGGATCTTCATGCTGCAAACGTTGACAACAATCAAGGTTCCGACAACAATAACGATCATGCAATCGATAATGTGATGGTTGTGTTTAGTTGCAAAACATGGATGTGATGGTGGTTTCTTCTTTTGTAGAGTTGTGCTTTTGCACATTAACTAGTAGGTGGCTCTAATCTGTTAGCTTTAGTTTTAGCTATAATATGACTCAATGATGCATGCTGGTACTTTACTCATCTTGACTGACTTGAACTGCAGAGATGAGATGGTAATGCTTTTGAATGTATTGATGCCGAACCATTTGGACATCATCTATATGTAGCCCGGATGCCATTAATGAATGTGCTGAACATTTGGATCTTTATATATGTGCTATCTATTATGTTGTAATGAAATTATAGTATGGACAGTCCATATTTAATATGTTGTTGCTACTGTTCTGTTTCTATATAATTATTGTATCCAATTTGCTGCATGGTCAAGTGTTTTTTCTGTCGGTTGTCTGTTATTTTTCTGTGCGTTAAACGAGACCGATAGAAAAATAAAAATTTTCCTATGAGTGTACCTCTACGACTCTATCGGGACAACATCGACAGAAAAATCATTTTTCTGTCGGGTTTTCCTTTTTTCTGTGAGTATTAACGCACACAACATTTAAATTTAATCTGGGTTAACGCAATTTTTCTGTGCGTGTAACACCCACAGAAAAATTGTTTCTGACGGCGAACACACAGAACAATTGAATTTTTCTGTCATTATATTTCTATGTGTATTTTTCTGAGGGTACACCGTCAGAAAAATATTTTTCTGATGGTATTCGCATTTTTCTGTGGGTTTTCGCACACAAAGAATGCAAGTTTCAATACTACAAAATACTGTAGATTGAATTGGGAAAGAAAAAAAAACTGTAGCGGCTGTGGCTTCAATCTAAAGTGATCACGCTAGTATTGCAGAAATCTGTGTCGTCGGTCTGCGAACTCACTGCTGGACAAGTATTAATTTTCTGATGGCCAAGCCAAACCACTTTTCTGATGGTCAAACCATTTAACCATTTCTTCTTATACAAGTAGTTGTGAAACAAAAGGTACAATATGAATACATATTGCAAGCACAATGAGACCCTAGCATGCATGGCAGACAAATAGTATCCACTATTTCCTGCATACAACAAACATAAGAAAGGCCAACACACGACAACTACCATTTTGGAAAAAAATACACAATCATTCGTTCAACAAACATAATAAAGGCCAACACATGAGCACTACCATTTTGGAAAAATACACCATCATCATTCGTGCAACGAAAATTAGAAAGGCCAACACAACACAGGAGCACAGCCATTTTGGAAAAATATTGATGGATTGGAAATCGCAAACTACTAATAACAAATTTGTGGCAAAACAAAAGGGAAGCAGTGAAGGTCGTTCCGCCATTGACTTGACTTGATCAATCTATCAAGCAGCAGCTGAGGTGCCAGAACCTGGATTACCCTGGTCCTCCTGATTCTCTCCCATGTTAAGGTTCAGAATGCCAGCATGACAAAGCAGAGCCTAAATATGGGTGAGGAACTCCCCGCCGTTTTCAAGGTGCTGCATGTGCTGCTTGGCAGTGTAGTGTGAAGCCGCGACATGGATGATCGTTTCTGCCCAGAAATCTTTCAGCACCTCCCAGCGACGATCCCCATCCTGCGTCCTCACCGGCTGCTTACAGAGCTTCACGCCTTTTTGGAACATCTTCCTAGGGTCATCATCTTCTTCCTCTTGCGTCATCCTATTGTAAATCAAAGCAAGACTGTAGTCGGATCCATAAAGCTCCTTACGTTCTTCCATCACCTCCTGTGCAACCTCTACTATGTTCGCCTTGTGGTATGGAAGCAGTTCTGGGAGAGATCGAATCAAGTAAGCACAGTATCTGGACAGGTGAACCGCAACGCCACGATGACCATCTCGAGCAATACTGTTTCTTCTGGGATTTGGGCGAAGCAGTTGTAGAACACATCCAAACAACTGTGCAACTAGGTGATTACTTCTTGGAGCAGTCCCATTCCCATCACTACGATCGTCATCAGGAATTGCATCGCAATATTCAGTTGCGATGTGCCAGATTAACATGACTTCTAGATGAGAGAGATTCTTGAGTGCCCAAGAATACTCATTAAACGTTTTTGAGGTGTTCTCGACATGATTGTGGCATGCTCCAACTTGGGCCAAGGTCCCAAGGGTGAATGTCAAGCTTAAGACGATGCCGCAGCACCATGAGAAACAACAGCAGTTTGTCGTGATGATTTGAAGGCCTTACCGATGTGATATTGAGGTGGGACTAGATCTATGTGAAAGCTTATCAAACAAGCTTTCCATCAAGTACTTATTGGCCTCAATCGCACTCCGGATGGATGCGTTATGGTCTTCCTAATGAAGTATTGTCGGGCTGTCGATGAACCGAATGTTCTGCGTTGATGGTCTTGCACCCCCAAGATGGGTGTTGAGGTGCATCCACTTCCTATGTGTTATAGAGGCCATGTAAGAAGTCTGTCCACGATTCGATCATCAAATTGTTCCCTAAACATATTGAAATTGCCTACATTAGGTAGCAACAAATTCTTAATTACTTATGTCGTTATGCAAACAAAGAAACGAGCCCATGTTGTGTTTAACTTTGATGGGCGTATCCAATCTGTAGGTTTCATATCCTCATCAGAGATTTGGGGAAGTAGTAGATCAGTCGGCCATGGGCGTTGATCTGTGAGGCACCAGCAGGACTAGTGATTTGTTGGTGCCGGAATAGCATTGGTGTGGTGCGGGAGGCGGTGCGTGTCCAGGTGCGGTGCAGGAAGGACAAGTTGGGGATTCAAAAGCTTATCATGCTACAAACATAAGAAAGGCCAACACACAAATAATTCTATTTTGGAAAAAAGATACACCATCATCATTATTCATACAACAAACATAAGAAAGGCCAATGCAACACATGGGCACTGCCATTTTGGAAAAATACACCATCATTCGTACAACAAACATAAGAAAGGCCAACACAAGTACACAACACAAGAGCACTGCCATTTTGGGAAAAATACTGATGAGAAATCACAAACGACTAACAACAAACTTGTGGCGAAAAGGTAGGTGGTGAAGGATGTTCCGCCATTGACTTGAAAATATATATCATGTAGCAGCTGAGTGGCCAGAGCCTGGATTAGCTCGGTCCTCCTGATCCTTGTTCCTATTAATGTTCAGAATGCCTGCATGAGCAAGGAGAGCCCAGATATGGGTGAGGAACTCCCCGCCATTTTCAAGATGCTGCATGTGTTGCTTGGCAGTGTAGTGCGAGGCAGCGGCATGGATGATCATCTTGGGCCAGAAATCTTCTAGCACCTCCCAGCGATCCCTATCCGGCATCCTCTCCAGCTGCTTACCGAGTTTCACGCCTTTTTGGAACATTGTCCTAGGGTCATCTTCCTCTTGTGTGCCTTCTAAATTCTTCATTTTACTGTAAATCTCAGGAAGTCTATAGAAGAATCCGGAAAGCTTCCTACGATAATCCATCACCTCATCTGCCAACTCTGCTATATCCGCCTCGTGGTATGGAAGCAGATCCAATCATGTATGCACAGTATCGAGACAAATGAACTGCAACGCCTCGATGACTATCTTGAGCAATCCAGTTTCTTCTAGAGTCTGGACGAAGCAGTTGTAGCACATATTCAAACAAATGTGCACCTCGGTGATTACTTCCTGGATTAGTCCCGTTCTCATTACTAGGATCATCAGAAATACCGCAGTATTCAGTTGCAATGTGCCAGATCAACATGACTTCCAGCTGACAGAGATCCTTGAGTGCCCAAGAATACTGATCAGACATTTGGTTCTGCAGCAGCCTTACTGATGTTTCTCCACTAGTAGCTAGGTTACTTCCATAAGTTGATATGAGCGACGTAGCAATAGCTTCTTTCACTGCATCAGAAACCTCTACAGGGTCTGGCTGCGGCTTCCATCCAAAAATAAATGAGTACTGGTGAATCTTATTTCTCAACGCTGCTGAAAGCGTAACCCTTCTAACAAAGCCAATGACTTTTCCAAAAATAAATATAAATGCATTGGATTCACAACAATATTTCCTGACATGCATGCAGGCCAGTGATACCCTGGCCCAATTCGAAGCCAGGTAAAACACTTCATGCACTAGATCCACTAGGAGGGCTATAACGACAACTAGTATAGTGATGATGTAATCAGCTTCTGAAATGCCTACTTCTATGATAGGATTTGGCGTCTCAAGAACCAGTGATTTTGTGATTGCAAACACTCCAACCCTCAAAATTAGATAGATCTTGAATAGAATCAAACATTGAATTAATGGCACCGGCAATAGATTCGACCAGAAGAAGGTAAAATAGTACTTTGTGAAGAAGAAATCGTAGCAGAATCCCAACTCTACCTCAATAATTCTGAAGGCTCTTTTGAAATCCATTTGAGAATGCAACAATTTTTTGAAGACAAAATCATGGTCTTTAAGGTGATACACCTTGCGCCCAAAATATTGCTGCCTCAGTAGCCTCTGGGACAAGGCATAGGATAGGCACATATCTTTCAATGCATTGCCATCATGAGCTGAGTTGCCACAAGAATCCCATATCTGGTCAATGGTAATGGATCCACCTCCAAACAGACGATAACAAACTTCATATTTGTACCCCTTCATGCTCTGAGGGCAAGAGTCACTCGCAGCATCATTCGCAGTAGTTTCCTCCCTGCTCACTGCATGTATTGTGCGACCGATCATGTCTAAAAGAGTACCCTGCTTTATGTTGTATTTGTATGCAAAGGCTACTAACCAAAGGGATACAAAGAACTTTGTGCATGTAACAACCAGAACAAGTTCTAAGACACCATTTGAACTTGCTGTGGATTCCTTTAAAGTCCCAGACACCTGTGGGTCCCAGGCTGATTTATACGTATTTGGATCCAGTAGCACGGCGAACATCAATAAGTAAAAGACATCCAGGAAGCACTCGCCCATAACCTGCATATACTTGTTCAAAAAGCTGCCACAGAAATCATATTGCCGGACGGCGGTGGTGCCTGCTGAAGCCATGATGAGAAAACCAGCCCAGACGGGATACGACGAATTCTTGATTGGTGAGGACTGCATCGTGCCCAAGGTGTAGATGATGAGAGGGTTCATAAGTTTGCAAGGCACCTGCAGGCCATATTTGATGAAGCAATTATTGTGCCATCGCCGCCTGCAGTAGCCCAAGATAAGCTGGACAAGCAGCAGCGCAGCAGCCAATAGCACCAGCACTTCCACCTTGAAGATCGTCCTCCTTGGGTTGTTCAACCAAGGGGACAAAGCCTCTATTGCCCTCGTAATGTTTACCACTCCGCTATCTTCTTGCTTGGAGCGAGGCTCCATGCTCATGGAGGCTGCGTGTGGGTGTGTTGCTCTTGAGGAATTGGATGTTTGTCTCAGAGGAGCGTGTGTGTTTGTCTTGCTCTGAGGAGTGCATGCCCAGCTCCGTTGGGAGTCTTGTTAATTACCATATCTGGCGGTACTGTATCTGGTTAACTTTCGCTTTTTCTCCCAACATCATGATTCATGACGAGCACTCGACACGCTAGATTCGATTTGATCTCTGCCCTGTGGGGTAGTAAATAAAGGTCCTGAAGCACCAAATAAATTTAAAGTAAAATATTGTTTGTTTGCCTAGTTTACGACAATTAGGATCCCATAATTTTTAAGGAATGCATGCAGGCCGCCGCTCCAGTTGCTAATACAAACTGCTAATCATTGAGAGCCTGTGGCCTGTGCCAGCTTTAATTTGCATGCAATGACATGCCGATTAAAGAAAGCAGGATGCGGAAATCCACAAGAAGATGAGACGTACACAAGCAAAGCAAAAGAACTATACGTATTGGTCTGCAAAATAAACGTACAAACAAATGCAGGAGAGACATCCGGTAACGCCACTTTTGAAGAAAGAACCGTCGCGAACAACCGTTTATGAAGGAAGAGAGTGAGGTCGGCGTCTCGTAAGGCGATGGCAGTGGCGTGTTGTCGTTACTATGGTACCTGGGTACCATCGTCTCAAGGAAAAACGTCCAACCAGACTCTATCCTACTATATTTTCTTGGAACAAACTAGAAAACCTATATCTAAACCGATAAACAGATCATGACTCCATCTATATAGCCTTATCCTCGACTATATAAGGAGAAGGAAGCCCCTGATCGGCATCCCAAATAGCACCACCCATATAGATAGAGTTGTGATTCTTGCTCACAACTGACCTCCGTTGGGAGTCTTGTTAATTACCATATCTGGAGGTACTGTATCTGGGTAACTTTCGCTTTTTCTCCCAACATCATGATTCATGACGAGCACTCGACACGCTAGATTCGATTCGACTGCCCTGTGGGGTAGTAAATAAAGGTCCTGAAGCACCAAATAAATTTAAAGTAAAATATTGTTTGTTTGCCTGGTTTCACTACCGGAAACATGGCCTTTGCCAAGTGCAAACTGCTTTGTCGAGTGTCAAAAATCAGGCACTCGGCAAAGACATTTTTTGCCGAGTGCCGTACTCGGCAAAGAATTGCACTCGGCAAAAAAGGGCACTCGGCAAAGGACTTCTTTGCCGAGTGCCAGGCTCTCAGCAAAAGCGCGCCACTCGGTATTGGCTGCCCCGCGTAACGGTGTTCAGCCACGTCCTTCTTTGCCGAGTGCCTGCTGTTAGGCACTCGGCAAAGATTTTTTTTTTTGGAAAATACTTTGCCGTGTGCCCCTGACACGGCGCTCGGCAAAGATTCAATATTTTTTTTTGACATGTCTTTACCGAGTGCCTAACAGCTTCGGCACTCGGCAAAGGGAGGAATTAAAAATATTACATTTTTTTTGAAATACCTTTGCCGAGTGCCCCTGTGAAGGCACTCGCCAAAGAGGAAATTTCTAAAAAAAATTCAAAAATCCTCTTTGTCGAGCGCCTTATTCTTGGCACTCGGCAAAGACCCCCTTTGCCGAGTGCCCCTGTGAAGGCACTCGCCAAAGAGGAAATTTCTAAAAAAAATTCAAAAATCCTCTTTGTCGAGCGCCTTATTCTTGGCACTCGGCAAAGACCCCCTTTGCCGAGTGCCCCTGTGAAGGCACTCGCCAAAGAGGAAATTTCTAAAAAAAATTCAAAAATCCTCTTTGTCGAGCGCCTTATTCTAGGATACCCCGGCGCTCGGCAAAGTTTTTTTTGTTTTTGGCCTCCAAATTTTTTGTGCAACCCTTTTAAAGTACCAGGAACTCCTTGTTAGAATTTGGGGATTTTTTATGGCTTTTTTATATATTTAGTTACTTTATTTCGTTTACTTGATTTTTTTCGAAAAATATAAATTTGAACTGCACGTGGTACGAATAATAGAATTTAATGATTCAAAAAATGATAGTCATGTTATTGAGTGTAGTGTTCTTTAAATTATCCGATCGGACCCGAAATTTCGGACATATTTTCATGAAACATGATCTCGAACAAGTTTCATGATTTTCAAATTCGCTTAAAAAACAATAGAATTTAAAAACATCATGAAACTTGTTGAGATCATCGTGATATCGTGAACAAGTTATGTTAAAATTTCGGGAAGATTTCTAATACGTTGTCACACTACACTCACAAGAATAGGACTATCATTTTTTGAATCATTAAATTCCATTATTCATACCACGTGCAGTTCAAATTTATATTTTTTTAAAAAAATTCGTGTAAACTAAATAAAATAACTAAATATATCAAAAGCCACAAAAACTCCAAATTCTAACGAGGAGTTCTCACATTTAAAAAGGGCTGCACAAAAATTTGAAGGCCAAAACAAAAAAAACTTACTTTACGAGCGCCGAGGCATGGCACTCGGCAAAGAGGGTCTTTGCCGAGTGCCAAGAATAAGGCACTCTGCAAAGAGGGTTTTTGAATTTTTTTCAGAAATTTCCTCTTTGCCGAGTGCCTTCACAGGGGCACTCGGCAAAGGTATTTCAAAAAAAACTATGCCGACGGCCGGATCGGGGCACTCGGCAAAGTTGCCACCTTTGTCGAGTGCCTCCCTGATCCGACGCTCGACAAAGGGGCGGGTGAAAGCTCTAGTTTGGTTTTGGTTAATTGATGAAACCCTAAGTGCTAACTTAGTTTATCAAGATGTTTATGAGATAGGTAGCACTACTCCAAGTGATGAAACAATGACGAAGATCATGACAATGGTGATAGCATGGTGATGATCAAATGCTTGAACTTGGAAAAGAAGAAAGAGAAAAACAAAAGGCTCAAGGCAAAGGTATAAAATATAGGAGCCATTTTGTTTTAGTGATCAAGACACTTAGTGAGTGTGATCACATTTAGGATAGATAGCCGTACTATTAAGAGGAGTGTAACTCGATCCGAAATGCGGTTATCAAAGTGCCACTAGATGCTCTAACTCATTGCATATGCATTTAGGATCTAGTGGAGTGCTAACACCCTTGAAAATATTTGTGAAAATATGCTAACACATGTGCACAAGGTGTTTGCGGGGTTGAGATGGGTTTGGGTCCTCTCTCCTCCCGCCGAGCTTGCAGGCGGATTCAACGCTTTTGGAAAAATGAAATGTCTATCTTCTATTGCACCGGATGCAAAATTCTTGGTGGTTGGCACATTTGAGCAAGGGTGAAGAAGTTAGAGTTGAAATGGAGTTGGTCGAAATGATGTTTGGCGTCGGTTCATCGACCGGACATTGGAGTCACTCAAATGACCGGACGCTGAAAAGGCTGCGTCCGGTCCGAGTTGCCGACGGCTCGAGAGGAAAGGTTGAGCACCGGACGCTGGTCTGCGTCCGGTCAAGGTGGACCGGACGCGTCCGGTCGAAGAAATACGCCTCGGGGAGCTTACTGGAAACGACCGGACGCTGGGGCTTCAGCGTCCGGTCAGTTTTGACCGGAGCGTCCGGTCAGCTTCGTAGCCGTTGAAATCTGACGAACATCGTTTGAAGCTGGTGACGCGTGGCATCCATCGGGCGACCGGACGCTGAGGGCCAGCGTCCGGTCGGTATGACCGGAGCGTCCGGTCAGAGCGTGTTTTGCCCAGTGAAGGGGTACAACGGCTCTATTTGATGGGGGCTCTATTTATAGCCCCATGGCCGGCTCAAGGAAACTCTCTTGCACATTTTCATTGACATAGCAACCTTGTGAGCTTAGCCAAAGCCCTCCCACTCATCTCCATCATTGATCCATCATCATTATGAGATTGGGAGAGAATCCAAGTGCATTGCTTGAGTGATTGCATCTAGTGGCACTTGGTATTCGTGTTGCGCTGCGGATTTCGCTTGTTTCTCTTGGTGGTTGCCACCACCTAGACGGTTGGAGCAGCGGTGAAGGATCGGCACGAGTTGGTGATTGTTCGTGGCCGCCTTCGGTGATTGTGAGGGGAGTTGTACCTTCCCCGACGGAGTGCCGAAAGGTAACTCTAGTAAATTGCTCGTGTCATTGAGTTACCTCACTTGTGGGTCGGTTCTTGCGGTGTCCTATCGTGTGGACGAGGTTTGTGAAACACCTCTTAGCCGCCGAACCACCAAGTGTTGGTCGACACAACGGGGACTAGCGTGTTGGCAAGCACGTGAACCTCGGGAGAAAAATTGGTTGTCTCTTGTCATTTGCATTCTCCCGGTGATTGGCTATATATATTCATCGTGTAATTGGTTCACTCCACGACCCGGCGGTAAAATTGTCTCACTTACTTATTTACATTTCCGCAAACTAGATATAGCAAGCTCTTTAGTGTAATTAGAATTGAGAGCTTGCCTTGTGCTTTAAACATATCTAGTGGAGCTCTTTAGTGTAGCTTTTGTGAGAGCTCTTAGTGAGTAGTGGTCAAGTAGATTGTGTGCAAATAGATCATTGCAACTAGAATTGTTGGATAGGTGGCTTGCAACCCTTGTAGAGCTAGAGCAAGTTTGCATTTCGCTATTTGTCTTACTAATCAAATTGCTCTAGTTGATTTGTAGTTTTTAAATAGGCTATTCACCCCCCCTCTAGCCATATTAGGACCTTTCAGCGGGTGGGGGCACTTAGGCGATTTCGGCCGGGCAGTCCCCACACAGACAGACAGCCCCGTGTCGCCGCTCCCGGCCGTCCCTGCGCCGCCATCCGCCAACGCCGGCCCGCCCCCACGCCATGCACCGCCCTCCCCTCCCCTCCCCGTGCGCCGTGCCCAGTCGCCGCCCAAGGCTTGACCAGACCCTCAAGCCGCCGCCGCCCTTGCCGCCCCCTCCCGCGTCGCGCCGCCGGCCGCATCCCTCCCGTGACACGCGCCACCCACCGTTGCCCTTCCCCACGCGCGCGCGTGTGCAGTAGCCCCTCCCGCGCCGCGCGCGGCGCCGCCCGCCCGCTTGGGCCCCCACCCCCCCCAGTGTAGCCGTGGC